TAAACATTAAAATTTATTTCAGACTGGAATGTTATCTGGTATGCCGCACATTATGAGAATGGTTTTCGCATATTTCTTTCGTTATTCGGTGATTATATGTTAAGGACCGATAAAATGTCCAGGACAAACGTACGAAAAATGGCAACTGCTGTTTGTAAGCATAAATCGCGGAATTTATTTTTCAATTAAGGAATACACTCATTACATTTGTTTTTTTTTACAAGGTTGCATAGGACAAGGCATTTTCATGGCAGGTTTAGCATTCTCTGGTAATGATCACATCGCGGCTATTGTGTTCATGACTCTGGCGACTGCAGTTAATGGAGCCGTTTCAACTGGGCCATTAGCCAGCTTTGTGGATTTGAGTCCCAATTATGCCAGTAATTACTTAACTATAATTACACCAATTGCATAATATTAGAGAAATTGTCTACATTTATTATTTAAATGCAATTTTAACTACAGGTATTACGCTGGGATTGAGTGGTATGATTTCTGTAATGCCTGGTTTTATTTCGCCTGCTATCGTTGGTATACTAACATTTGAAAACGTAAGTAATAATTGTTATATTAAAAATACTATTTGTATATAATTATTAGGGGGAAGTCACGTAACGCCGGACGGCACCAAAGACCGGACACTCTATTTAACACGTATTATTTAAGCGAGTATAAATCTTTTCATTCCAAAATATAAGTGAAAGGGGCACTGAGGGCACACAGGTACAGAATCACGCACCAAGCCTCGCCTGTCACGCACACGGCCACGGCGAGAGCTTCCCTTTCCTGTTTTAGGCGCAAAATCACGGCGTCACCTAAATATCAATAGAAGTAATTCTAGCATATTTATGCATTTGCATTTGAGTGGTATGCAAAGATAAAAGTTTGTACTTGATTATTATCCATAAAATGGTAGAATATTATTAGATCTTTAATCAATTTTAGTAGGTGCCACCAAATGAACGAAAATGTCTGTCCCTTAGCAACGGATACTAAGCCGTCCCTTAGTGCCGGACAGTAAACATATTGATATTTCTTGTGAGAATATACGTAATTTATTCCAATTATTTCATTTTATTCTGTATGAGTGCTAACGGTCACTACATACCCACATTTTTCGTATTTCCTAGTCAAAGAATGAAAAACTTATAAATGCACCAGCTGAGAGAATCGGTGTGGCCCAGCCAAAAGGGTGGATAAATAGTGATTTTTTTTTGCAATATCTAAGAATATTTGTCGAAGTCACATATGTAGACATTCCAGAGCGTGGAGATGGCTGCATATGTGATCAATGCAGGTTATTTTGAAATGTCCGGTAATAGGTGCCACTGTTTAAAATCATATTTTTTGATACCAAAGTTTGATTGATAGTATTAATTACTTTTAGCAAAGATTGCGGTTTTGTTAATTTGGTTTGATTTCTAACTTTGTTATCTAACATAAATCATAATTTAATAAACATTTCGTAAAATATTTTTTGATTTATTTATAAATAACCTTAGGTGTCCGCCACTTGGGGACTTTCCCCTACTTCAAAACTGTATTGTGAATTTTAAACATTAAAATGTGTATCTTCTATCTCTAGCAAACGATAGAGCAATGGCAGAAAGTTTTCCTCCTAGCGACAGCAATGTTGGTCGTTTGTGGTCTTTTATATTTGGTGTTTGCGGACTCTAATCTACAATCCTGGAACAGTCCAGATAAAATCGTTCAAGATCCCGAAGAAATTGTACCAATGACAGAAAAACCTCGTATTGTTATCACTAAAAATTCAATTCCAACAAGTGATCTGGCTTATACTAGGCGCCAAGAAAAAAAGGCGAACAATGTAGATATTATTCGTAAGAACAGCGACACTTCGAATAAAACTGACTCGTAAGAATTTTGTGAAAAGTGTTTGTGAAAGTATTATTTTGTCAAAAGGACGATTTAGGCTATGTAGTGACTGTATGGTTAAGAACTATATTAGAACTTATTGCTCATAAATCCAAACATACAATAATCTTTATAAAAATACTTAATAATTTATTAAATATTTTTACATAAAAAATAAAAATAGTAAAAACGCACTTTAATTTATATTTTAATACATTCATTATACTTTCGGATGTGTCCATTGTATAATATTGTCATAAATTGCGTACGCATTATCAAAATATATTTATAAAAAAATATGTTATTTTAATTTGTTTGTCTCAAAATGTGATAATTTTTACATTCACTGGAAAATTTACGTCCTCTTCTTCGTACTTCAACAGAAAATAAATAACTTATCTAATCAAATAATAAACTAGCTGTAAGTGGAATTCTGTCTTGAGGCAGTTATGGCATCGTGCCTTAAGGCAAATTGCTGGAACTTCCCGTACCGTAACGAAATGTTCGAGGAATACTGAATGTTTTCAAATAGATTATTATAAATATTGTAACATTGTCTAATATTTATAAGAATTATATAAACTGAATTGCAGAGTTGAAATTATTTATAAAGTATATTAGAACTAATAGTCAGAATTAAAAATAAAATCTGAAGTATTTTCGATATACAAAAAAAACTAAAAAAAAAAAAAAAAAAAAAGTTGGGACAAATTTTTTTTTCCAAAATCAATTATTTTGTTAAGACAAGCAGAAAGTTCTTTGAATCATTTAAATCGGATGCTCAGTTCTCTCAAAACCTGTCATTTTTTACATATTTAGCTCCGTATCTTCGAAATGGCTGGGCCTGCCTTTGCCAAAAACTAATAAACTCTTCTCCCAATCATTACTAATTGAATGTTTTTTAGATGATTCAAATCGAATACTCCGTTCTCTCAAAAATTCGATTTCTATTTTCTGCACTCTTTGCTCCGTATCTCCGAAATGGCTGGACCTGCCTTTGCCAAAAACTAATCAGCTCTTTTCCCTATCAATAGGAATCGAATGTTTTTGAACCATTCAAATCGGTTGATCCGTGCGCCCTAAAACGTGACTGGAAATTTGTATCCATACATACATACACACACACACATACACACACACACATACACACACACACACACATACACACACACACACACACACACACACACACATCCATTTTTTCTGAGGTATGCCAAAACGTTCAGAAACCTTCAAAACGTCGAGAAATGTAAAAATTTTCAATTCCGATTTTCGGCCCATTACAATAACTTACCCTACGGGAAGTTAAAAATACAATCATTTACCAAAAGGGTAGTTTTAATTTGAGACTTTATCTATGAATTTAATAACGACAAATTTAGTCAAACTATTATTTGTGACGCAAATTGTATAATCAACTTTCTGCAAACAATGTCTTCAAGTTTATTCATAGAGAATCATAAAAGATAACGTTATCAAACAATGGTGGAAAATTCCACAAAAAATATGAAATTATTACTTTCTTCGAACGAATTAGAGAAGATCGATACTTCATTAACAGAACTATTAATGTAAACAATAATCACTGATTGTATGTAAATATTTATTAAAACTTCCCATGGGGTAAGTTAAAGTAATGGGCCAAAAATCGAAAATGAAATTTTTTGCATATCTTTACGTTTCAGAGGTTGCTGAACATCTTGGCAAACCTCAGAAAAAATAAATGTGTGTGTGGAGACAATTTTTTGTCGACGATTTCGGTCGTACGAATCATCCGATTTGATTGGTTCAAAAAACATTCGATTTCTATTGATGAGGAGACGTGCTGATTAGTTGTTGACAAAGACAGGCCCAGCGGTTTTAGAGATATGGGGCAAAAAGTGCTAAAAATATCAGTTTTTAAGAGAACAGATCAACGGATTTGAATGATCCAAAAAACAATCGATTCGTAGTGATGAGAAAAAGTGGTGATTAGATTTTGACAAAGGCAGGTCCAGCCGATATAGAAATAAATGTGCACATAATGGCAGTATTTGAGAGAACTAAGCATCCGATTTAAATTACTTAAAAGCTTGTGTTGACTAAACGATTGCTTTTAAGGAAATATTTTTTTTATTCCATTTTTTTAAATTTTCAAAAAACGAAATAATAAACATCGAAAAATGATTCGGATTTTAATTCTAATTCTAACTGAAGTTCTGAACACCACTTATATACTTCAAATACATAATTTTTTACTTTGCAATTCAGTTTATACAATAGTTAGACATATAATGACAATGATCTTCAATTTAAATCCGATTGATTAAGTTTTGTTTATTTACTTTTTATAACATTTTATATTTCTCGAATATTCCATTAAGGTACGGGAAGTTCTAGCAATTTGCCTTAAGGCACAATGCCATACCACTAATAGTTTATTTTATTTATACGAAACCCTCAAAAATTATTGAAAGAATAAATGTGCATAAAATTCTTGATAAACTGAGATTTGTCTTAGTGGCAATTTTTCTTCAGCATGTGATTTTTATCATAAATACCCCTTTAATGCGGCCCTGTCTTTACTTATTACATTCTTTTTATATCATACTTATATTCATATACACATACGTTATCAACATATCGATCCTATTGAAATTAATTTAAAACTGATTTACATTTAATTGATACGATACAATTTATAAGCTCTATATTGTCATTTATTGACTCAAAATTACATGCACATATCTAAATTGCAATATTCTATAATAGAGCACTGATTTTTACTTTTGTTACAATTACTGAAAACGTATTTTTAGAATAAAATTTGCAAAATATTCTTTTGCAAAGACTTAAACAGTAAGTTCCATATCATTGGTGTGAGTCTAATAGTTTCAATAAGTGAGTCGACCCAAAATAGATCAATTGGAAAATATCAATCGGCACTAGAATATATTCTAAACGCTACTACACATTTATTATCACATAATTGAATATGAATTTGTGCATTAAATTAAAGTTGGAGTTAAATAATGGTTAAAGTTTGAAGGAATTTACAGGAAAAATATAGAAAATATAGAAGGTAGGTTTGCAATATGAAATAAGCATAATAAAGCATGGAATTCAGCTTTGTAGTATAACTAAAACATATAAAAATTTTAAAAATTATTTGGCTCTGATATTTGTTTCTACTCGAGCTAGAAATTATTTGTTTTGATATAAAGGTAAACAGGAACCAACATTTTTATCTTTATTTTAATTTTTTATTGGTCTCCTTGATTTACAAACTTAGACTTATTATCAAAAATTTTATCACTTTTATTAAAAATAAATATTATTTATATTAATTTAAAATCACACGTTTTACGAAATGTTCAATATATAAATATAAAAAATCGAAAATGAATATTTTTATATAACTCTACTTTCAGAAGTTTCTGAAAATTTTGGAGTACCTTAGAAAAAATTGATGTATATGTGTGTACGAGTATATATATATATATATATGTATGTATGTATGTGTGTGCGTGTGTGTGTGTGCGGATACAAATTTTCGTCGACGATTGCGCGAACACGGATCAACCGATTTGAATCATTCAAAAAACATTCGATTCCTATTGATAAGGAAACGTGCTGATTAGTTTTTAGGGAAAAAAGTGCCAAAAATGGTATTTCAGTTTTTGAGATAACGGTGCGCCCGATTTTAATAATTCATTTTTCTTGTATTGACGAAATGAACAACTGGTGAAATTTTTGTAAAAGCAGGTCCAGTGTCTCCGGAGATCCAATTAAAAAAGTGAAAAGTAATGCCATTTGGCGGTCAAACCTGAACATTAGACATATGTACATCATATTATCAGATATTTCATACAGATTATAATAATAAGTACAAATTTTGTGTACATTTATATGGGTTCCGTACCAATGTTTACACGTTAGACGACTACGCGACGCTCACGCGCTTTGATATTTCGACTTCAAATCAGCTTGCAGCGCGATTGCTTAAAAAAGTGTTCAAAATTTTCATAATAAATCAAAATACAAAAAAATCAAAATATAAACAAAATCAAATTTTTCAAAAAAGCGAATTTTTTTCAAAAATTTCAAAATTTCTCAAAAATCTAATTTTTTCAAAATTTTGCAAAGTTTTTTAAATAATTCAGTTTTCGGTACAGAAAGTTCCAGCAATTTGCCTTAAGGCACGATGCCATGCATCACTTGTTAACTTCCCGTAGGGCAAGTTATAGTAATCGCAAAAAAAATCGAAAATGAAAATTTTTTCATTTCTCGACGTTTCAAAGGTTTCTGAATATTTTGGCATACCTTAGAAAAAATGGATGTATGTGTGTGTGTGTGTGTGTGTGTGCGTGTGTGTATGTATGTGCGGATACAAATTTTCGTCGACGATTTCGGGAACACCAATCAACCGATTTGAATAATTCAAAAAACATTCGATTCGTATTGATAAGGAGACGTGCTGATTAGTTTCCTGGCGAAGTCAGGTCTAGCCGTTCCGAAGATACGGGGCAAAAAGTACCGAAAACAATAACTCAGTTTTTAAGAGAACGGAGCGTCCGATTTTAAAAATTCAAAAAACATTTTACTTGTATTGACAAGGTGAAGAACCGATCAAATTTTCATGAAGGTAGGTCTAGCGGTTTCGGAGATCTAATGAAAAAAGTAAAAAAAAATGCCATTTATCGGTCAAAAATGATCATTAGACATATGCACATCAAATTATCAGATATTTTATAGAGATTTTAACAATAAGTATAATTTTGGTTTACATTCCTATGGGTTCCGTACCAATGTTTACGCGTTAGACGTCGACGCGGCGCTTACGCGGTTTGATATTTCGTCTTTATGCAGTTAAAGCAGTACGATTGCTTTAAAAAAAAATTTAGATCTTTCAAAATATGTCAAAATAAAGAAAACATTTTTTTCTCAAAAAAAAAAAAAAAAAAAATTATTAAAAATTTTTTTTTTCAAAAAAAAGTAATTTTTTGTCTAATTGTTTGTCAAAAAACTTATTTTTTCGAAGTAAATTTTTTTCAAAAATGTTAATCGTTTTTAAAAAAATAATAATTTTTGGTACGGGAAGTTCCAGCAATTTGCCTTAAGGCACGATGCCTTAATTGCCTTAAGACAGAATTCCACTTACAGCTAGTTTCTTTAATATTTTGTTGAAGTGCATAGTGCACAAAAGAATTAGGACCAATTTGAATGTTAAACAAGATTTATCTATTTGAATCTTGACACACTCTTCCAGGTCTTTGTGTCCAATGACTTCTTTGACATTTGGGCATTATTTAGGTTTGACGTTTGACAAATCAATTTCTAAATGCCTATAATTGTGCTATTATATATGCAAAATAAAAATACTTTATTTTGGAATTTTTGGTATGAATTGGTTTAATTCCCAAATGAAACAACGAAATCAAAATTTCGTATGTGACATATTGTTTATTAGGTTAAGCCAATAAATCTTCATGATGTTTAAATTTTGGTGCAACAAGTTAATACACACTTATTTAGTTATTTAAATAATACAAGCATTTTTTTTTATATTATTTATAGCTCATTTATTTATTTTATCAGCTATAATCCTTAACTTTATTATTTTATGTGATATACTATGTCAATAAACATATTACAAAAAATGTAATGACAAAGTAGTTAATTTATTATATCTGTCTAATTTTCTAATTTAAGATAATGAAGAGATCATATATACCCAAGTGCATGTTTGAACCATTATTATTTGGAATATAAATTTAAAACATTAAAAATGGGTGATATTGCGACAACAAGCTTTCTGCATCTAGGGGACATCGTGTCTCTGTATGCAGAAGGCAATGTTTGTGGATTTTTGAGCACTCTCGGGTTTGTATATTTCAGTGTATATAATATGAATTTATAAATAAATACATTTGATTTAATGGATTTGATTTTCTGATAGATTGGTCGATGATAGAACTGTTGTCTGTCCTGAAGCAGGAGATCTTGGAAACCCTCCCAAAAAATTTAGAGGTTCATAAGATTTATATATGTTTATATATATATATATATATATATATATATATATATATAAATATATATATATATATATATATATATATATATATATATCTTGATTCATGTGCTTCTGATACTTTTTAGATTGTTTGTTTAAAATATGTCCTATGAATCGATATTCTGCTCAAAAACAATTTTGGAAAGCTGCTAAACAAAGTGCAAGTGCAAACACTGATGCAAATTTATTGAAAAGATTACATGTGAGTTTATCGGAATATTTTCAATGAAATTTATTAATATAATCTTATGATGGGACCATATAAATTTTTCAAAATATGTTAGTTGCTTCGAATAATAAGCCTTTACTTTACTTTATTAAACAAAATCATGAAACTCAAAGCCTAATTTATATATTAATAGTTTTATATATCTGAAAGAATCTAGACAGTTGTTATATTTATGATTTTTATTGAATTTATCACTTAATCAACATTTATTGATCTTAATCATTAAATAAATAGCATGCAGCTGAGATAGAAAAAAAGCAAAATGACACAGAAAACAAAAAGCTTCTTGGATCCGTAGTGCAATATGGCAGTGTTGTGCAAGTATGACATAATTATATAAAATCGTAATACAAATATTCTAATTTGACATAGCTGATAAAACCTTACTTTTAGTTACTTCATCTCAAATCTAACAAATTTCTTACGGTCAACAAAAGATTACCAGCGTTGTTAGAAAAAAATGCAATGAGAGTATATCTTGATGCTAATGGCAATGAAGGTTCTTGGTTTTACATTTTACCATTTTATAAACTAAGAGCTACTGGTGATAATGTTGTTGTCGGTGATAAAGTGATTTTAAATCCAGTCAATGCTGGTCAACAAGTTTTGCATGTGGCAGCAAATTATGAACTACCAGATAATTTGGGATGCAAAGAGGTAAATGAATGATTAGCTTTAAACCAATTACTCGAAGTATGGTTTATATTGAAATTATTGATTTCATTACTGCATTGCTGTTAATGTTTAAATTTGAGAGCTTGAAATACATTTTATATAACATGAATGCACATATAAATGCTTGCATATAATGGTTAGGAGATGTGCATTTATATAATATAAGGTGACTCTTTGTATATAAAACTTGAATTTGTTTTATAAGTCACAAAGAAATAATGATATAGTTTTGACAATCATTATAATAAGAAGAAGTGGACAAGAATCTCAACAACAATATTTATTAGTTATGTAATCTATGTAATTAAGTAAATAGAATTATAATCAAATTGATTTCAAAAGGTGAATGTGGTAAATTCCTCAACATCATGGAAAGTGACTTTATTTATGGAACATAAAGAAAACCAAGATGAAATTCTCAAAGGTGGAGATGTTGTCAGATTATTTCATGCTGAACAAGAGAAATTTTTGACAATGGATGAGTATAAGAAGTTCCAGCATGTGTTTCTGCGAACAACTGGAAGAACTAGTGCAACTGCTGCAACTAGTAGTAAAGCTTTGTGGGAAATTGAGGTATAATATGCCATAGAAATAATTTATAATACTTAAGACCTCGTTAAGAAGAATATGCTTAATAAGATTTCTGGCATAATACGCCACTTTACATGAGTTACTGCACTTAGAAACATGTTGTCTCCATACTGCATATTATGCTTTTTAACTTAACACTCGTTATTGGTTCCTGGGAAAGTGACTTAACAGGGTTTTATTAACAATATCACTCTATTATCAAAGCATAGGTCTAATTTTTGTATTTGATTTGTTAAGTTACGAGCTGTTCATTTCTCAGCTTGTTAAGAACTTAGTTATATAGCTATATTAATAGCAACTAGCTATATGTCATTTTTTTAATTATGGAATACAATACGAAGTCTATGCAAAATGCCAGAACATTGATGTCATACCTATATCGCATAATATGCTTTCTAACTTAGAACTCATTTTTAGTTCCTGAGAATGCGTCTTAACAAGGTTTTGTTGTATATGTGTAAATTATACTGTGAATGTTATTGTAAGATTGCTCACTATTTTAACAATGTCACTCTATTACCAAAGCATAGGTCTAATTTTTGTATGTAAAATGTCAAGTTTTAAGTTGTTACTGAGTTAGCTACATAGCTATATTAATATCAACTAGCTATGTGTCATTTTTTCAATTATGGAATACTGTACTAAGTGTATGTGAAATGATGTACCTATATCGCTTAATATTAATACCATTTATAACTTATTTTTGGTTTGTGAGAATGCGTCTTAACAAGGTTTTGTTGTTGTGTGTAAATTATACTGTGAATATTATTGCAAGATTACTCACTATTTCAACAATGTCACTCTATAATCAAAACATGGGCCTCATTTTTGTATTTGTCTTAATTTTTATTTCTTAGCTTGTTAGGAATTTTGTTATCTATATAGCTATATTAATATCAACTTACTATAACTTATTTTTTCAATTATAAAATACTATACTAATTATAATAAGTGTATGCAAAATGGTATAACAATGATGTCTATTGCTTGAGTACATAATTAAGACAAATAGAAAATTGAGGATTCAGTGCAATAAGTAACATTTATGACATTGAGCTTTGAAATTTGTAAATAATAATAATTCATTTCTAAAAAAAACTTACAGTTTGTGTTGGTGTTCTTTTTGACAAAGCCTCAAATTCCTATGATAATAAAACACCACTATAAATAAAACGGTATTTAATAATAAAAACCACTGACCACAAAAATACGTGCGCACTTTCAAACAATGTCACTGACTAAAACAATTTTCGATTGGTTTCCGTTAAAACCGCGAATTATGACACTCACGTGAAGTGCGTTAATATCGCTGATGTTGGTACACATGCAAATTTTAACGTTGACGTTCGATTTTATTTTTTTATTATATTGCAAATATATTTCAAAATGGTTGTATTTTTATTACACATAATTTTAATTTATCAATAATATGTTTTTTTTATTTATCTATAATATTTTATAACAGGTTGTTCAGCATGATCCTTGCAGAGGAGGTGCAGGACATTGGAATTCTATATTCCGTTTCAAACACCTTGCGACTGGTCATTATTTAGCTGCGGAAATCGATTCTGTATCAAATGAAGAACAGAAAAATAATAGCGAAGATAGTTTAGGTAAATTAAATAATTTAGATGATTTTGTAATTATTTTATACATACATCTTGAAATTAAATTAAATGACATCACAATTTCAACCTAGCGTAATTTGCATCTTTTTCTGAAATTGAAGGACTTGTCATTAGTATGTATCTTCTTTTAGTATTTTGTTTAAAGCTCTTTTATATTTCAAACTACTAGCTAGTAATTTGCATTTGTACTAAAATTTATTTTATGGTAGCTTTAAGAACATAAATGACATCACATCATTCAATCTTGCGTAATTTGCATCTTTTTCTGAAATTGAAGGACTTGTCGTTAGCATGTATCTTCTTTTAGTATTTTGATTATAGCTCTTTAATATTTCAAACTGTTTGTAAATGAAAATAACAATTCAAAAACTAACTAACAAACAAAATATAATTTATGTTAGATTTATTTCATTATTCAATGTTTACTTTTTTCTATCAGCTGTCGAAACAAGTGTTGATGCTAACACATTATATCATCTGATATCTGTGCCGCACTCTACTGATATTGCATCGTTGTTTGAACTTGATCCAACAACTATGACAAGAGCAGATTCTTTAGTGCCTCAATCCAGTTATGTTCGGCTGCATCACATTTGTACAAATACCTGGGCTCATTCTACTTCTATACCCATCGACAAGGATGATGAAAAGCCTGTGATGTCAAAAGTAATATATTGATTTTTTCAGTAACAATTTTAATAACTTAACTTAAATTACATTATCTGCAATTTTATGTCATTGCAATTGATTGAATCCAAATAATAAGAATTTACATTATTATATACAAAATAAATGAGCAAATCAGATTTTGTTAATAATATTTTAAGGTTATATTGAATCCTTTAATTAAATTATTTAAGGTTGGTTGTGCCATAGTTAAAGAAGATAAAGAAGCATTTGCTTTGATCTCCGTTTCTCCAGTTGAAGTACGTGATTTAGATTTTGCTAATGATGCTTGCAATGTTTTGTCAGCAATGTCTGTAAAACTAGAAACTGGAACAATATCTCATAATGAAAGAAGGTAAAATATTTAAATCTTTCTAATAATGGATGCAGTAAATGATCAATTAACATTTAATTATAAATTTTTTTGTGCATGCACATTAATATTAGTGCATATATATTTAAATTTTCAACATTGTTCTTTATTTCAGAGCCGTAACTGCTCTATTACAAGATATAGTTTACTTCATTGCGGGAATGGAAAATGAGCAAAATAAATCAGAAGCATTAGAATTAAGTGTAGCAAATCCTAATCGTGATAGGCAAAAGTTACTTAGAGAACAATATATTTTAAAACAACTATTTAGAATATTACAGGTAAAAAACATATTCTTGAATTAATAATATAATAACTAATTACTACTTTATACTACATTACTAATTCAATTCAATTTAGGGACCGTTCTTACCTTCGGCGGACGGGTCAGCACCATTTTTGAAAATTGAGGAACTTAATGATCCTCGTCATGCACCTTATAAATATATTTTTAGACTGTGTTATAGAATATTACGCTTGAGTCAACAGGATTACAGAAAAAATCAGGTATATATAAATAAAAAAATATGACCAAAATTATTTCAAATATATTATTGAACTTGCTAATTCATATTTAAGGTAATAGATTTGTTTTATTTATTTGTGCAGAATCAATTTTTTATCATAAGTTTTGCATATAAGCTTGCACGAATTTTTAAATAAACATTTTTTATTTTATTACAGGAACATATAGCTAAACATTTTGCATTTATGCAAAAACAAATTGGTTATGATATATTAGCTGAAGATACCATTACTGCTCTTCTTCATAACAATCGCAAATTATTGGAGAAGCACATCACAGCAGCAGAAATTGAAACATTTGTTGGGCTGGTTCGAAAAAACAAACACAATTGGGAATCTCGTTTTTTAGATTATTTATCAGATCTGTGCATTTCAAATAAAAAGGCTATTGCTGTGACGCAGGAATTGATCTGCAAAAGTGTACTTAGCACAAAGAATTCAGACATATTGATTGAAACAAGGTTATTGAAACATTTTTTTTTTTTGAGGAGTTACAGTAATTGTGATCAGAATTTAAAATTGAATTATATTTTTATGTAATTAAATTTTTGTGAAATTATTAAATATTTTATTGTTTTATCACAGCTTGGTGAAAAAGGACAAATCCTTTGTTAAAAAAAGTGGAAACAAAACTAGTTCTGAAGCAATTAATGAAGATACTGATATTGTTTTAGCTTGGAATAATGGAGCAGTCCGTACCAACATAAATTATCATAAAGTATTTAAATCTATTCCAATTTGTAATTTTATTCAATGTGATTTTTAGAAATCTATGCCATTGTGTGAAATATCATGCGGATCTAAACAGGGTAATCGGGAGTATGAATCTATGCTTCATTACTATCGACATCAGCTTAATTTGTTTTCAAATATGTGCTTAAATAGGCAATATTTAGCTTTAAATAATTTATCACATTTGGACATTGACCTAATTTTAAGGTAACTAAATTTTGGTATAGATGTCATATAATTATTTTTTTATATATTATTTTTACTTCAAAGGTGTATGTCTGATGAAATGGTGCCATATGATCTGCGTGCTTCCTTTTGTCGACTCATGTTACATCTTCATGTAGATCGAGATCCTCAAGAACAAGTTACTCCAGTTAAATATGCTCGATTGTGGTCCGAAATTCCGACAAAAATGTCTATACATGAGTGAGTGTTTGTATAACACATTAAAAAGAACTGTGAAACGTTTTGGATTTAAAAGTTTTTTGATTTCCAGTTATGATAATAATAAATCTTCAGATCAAAATAAAGAAGCTGTTCAAGCACGATTTAGTACAACAATCATGTTTGTTGAGGATTATCTGTGTAATGTTGTAGCAAAAATGTGGTCTTTTGTTGATAAAGATCAGAATAAATTAACATTTGAGGTAACTTGATAATGAGACTTTATATAAAAGAATTGCTATATCTGCTGAGTATTAATTAATTTACTAATTAGTTTTTTTATATCTAGGTTGTGAAATTGGCAAGAGACTTAATATACTTTGGATTCTATAGCTTTAGTGACTTACTTAGACTTACAAAAACTTTGCTAAGTATCTTAGATTGTGTTTCTGAAACAGATGCACCAGACGGCCTTGTTTCTTCGGGAGAAGTGGATTGTAAGTTTCAGCATATGAATTAGTTATACACATTACAAATTAATATTCAAATTTTTTTATATCAAAATTTTTTTATTAGCTTGCGAAAACGTAGAAGGTAATTGGCATATAATAATCTAAATCTTGTATGTATTGATTGATTTCTTTGTTATCTGTTATATCTTCTTCTTTAATATATGTTCTTATTTCGGCAGAACATATATATTCTGCAGTTACTATTGTATTGTATCAAAGTTTTTCTAAATTATCTGTTTGTAAATGTATAATCGATAATATTTTTACTCACGTATATAACTTTATATATTTTTATCGTAAATTATTACTAATATTTTACAAAATTTATTTTAGCGGAGGGTGGTGTTTTAAGAAGCATTGGCGACATGGGAGCAGTTATGACTTCATTGGCACTCGGACCAGCAAGTCGAGAATCTGTGTCGCCAATATCAGGAATTCAACAACGAAAATCAGCTTCACAGTTAATGAAGGATTATCCATTGGTCATGGATACTAAATTGAAAATTATTGAAATATTACAGGTAAAAATATTTTCATAAGTGGACGAATTTTTATAATAAATTATTTTAAATGATTTACATAAAAAGCATATTTATGTCATGATGACATGTCATTCTGAATCGAATGAGACTGAATTTGGAAAATATTTGTGTGTATGTGTATGTGAGCTGATTTTTTACTTTTTGTCAACGAATTCCCAAAAACGCCTTGACCGATTTCAAAAAATTTTAATGTCATTCTATGAAACTCGATAAGGACTATAGTTTACTTTGGTTAGTTTTGTGCGACGATCGGCCCAGCCGTTTCTTTATAATTAGCGGAAAAGTATAAAATTTTTCGTCCACGTTTTAGCCCACAATTTTGAATTTATTTTAAAAGTTTAAAAAACTATTTGAAAGATATTGGTTGGGAATCGCGTTGATTAGTTTTTGGTAAGAATCCGCCGGAAGTTTTACAGATATTATAAGCATGTTTGCAAGACATCAGTTGGAAATTGCATTGATTAATTTTTAGTGAAAGCGAAAATTTTGTTTTCGAAATAAAACGTTTGAACACTTCACCTTAATAGCTGTTGATTAAATATACGTATCGGGAAGTTAATGCAACTTGCCTTAGGACATCGGCAATTTACAACTAGTTTCTCTTCAATTTTACAGTTTATATTAGATGTACGATTGGATTATCGTATTAGTTGCTTGCTATCAATTTTCAAATGCGAATTTGATGAAACTGAGCGATCTTCAGTTGATGCAGTATTATTTAGGCAAAAGAGTATAGATCTTGAAACTATTGGAAGTCAAGCAGAGGGAATATTTGGAAGCAGGTATATATTTAATTTTAATGAAATACTTCAATTTTTTATTTGAATCTAAAATTTCATAAAAAAATATTTAATTACGTCAATGTTTAAGTGAGGACAGCGCAGCATTGGATCTTGATGGGCGAGGTGGAAAGACTTTCCTTCGAGTTCTTCTACATTTAACAATGCACGATTATCCATCTGTCGTTTCTGGAGCTCTGCATCTACTTTTTAGACATTTCAGTCAACGACAAGAAGTTCTTCAAGCTTTTCGACAAGTAAATTATAGTCCACACAGATTTATTTTAAGATTTTATGTGCAAAACATTAATGCAATTTGTTTATCTCCACAGGTTCAATTGTTGGTTTCGGACAGCGACGTAGAATCTTATAAACAAATTAAATCCGATTTGGACGTGTTGCGTCAAAGTGTAGAAAAATCTGAATTATGGGTTTATAAATCTAGATGCGTCGAAGAACATGGTACTAATGTCGGAGGTAATAGTTTCAAAGATTAATGTCGGATCATTTAATTTAATATTCTTTTGTATGACTCAGGAAAAAATCAAACTAAAGAAGAAGATGATGATGCAGTTTCACCACATCCAACAAAGTTTTTGACAAAATCGGATAAGAAATGTTCATCTATAGATTTGGAGCTGGGACCTCCGTTACATCCTGAACAAGCAGAGGAATATAAAAAGATACAACAGGTAATAGATTAAAAAAAAAATATATTGCATTATATATATGTAATAAACTAAAGCGGTGTTTTATAATGTCTTTATTTTGTAAATACTTTCTTTCTCAGATTCTTATTCGCATGAATAAACTTTGTACTCAAACTCAGAATGGTGGTTTTGTGAAACCACGTAAACATGAACAGCGTCTTCTTCTTCGTAATGTAGGTGTTCACACCGTTGTATTGGATCTACTTCAAATTCCATATGATGAAAAGAAGATACTAGGATGAATGAACTTATGAGACTAGCACATGAATTTCTGCAAAATTTCT